GTGATGTTAGGAGGTGACAAAACAGTGAAAGTATGCTCCTGGCTACAGCAGCAGTCAGCAGATGCAGACAAAGGGTTTGTGACAAGAATAACTCTCTCTCCAAGGCGAGCGGTGAAGAGTATCCAAAATACCAGTACCCTTTTCTCCTTGACATTGTCTTCTTACAGTCAGCATTTTATTGCCCTTTTATAGTATTACAAAAAACAGAGGAGGAAGGAGAAAGAAAACCCACACACAAACTAATGCCCCGAGCCCCAGCCAGGATTTCACTTTTCTCTCAGTCGGTCCCTCCTGCACATCCAGACCGATCCTTTTGCAGTTCCCCGTTGATGTAAGTGTCAAAAATAAAATAGTTTATAAGATGAGCTGAAAGGATGCTCTCCCTTGCGGAGCCGCGGGAGGCTCCAGTTATTGAGCGGGTAAGGGGAGTCAGGGAGAGAGGGCCATCCCAGTTTGTCTTCTGTCCATTTCAGCAAAGATCATTTCACAGGCTAATGAGGCCCATTTTAAAGGGGATCTGGGGCTGGCACAGGGGCCAGGGGAACCGCCAGGGCAAGGTTTTGGTCCCCCCCTCCAGAGGCAGATGGATGAGCTGAGGATGGTTTAGAGGTGTGAAAAATCAGCCCCTCTGTCTGTGGAAAATAAGAGAGGCTGTCTTCTTTGTAACCTTTGTAATTCCCCTTCTATTCTCTATGACATTCGTTCAGCTGCCAAGAGCGTTGGCAAGGTTTAGGCCAGCGAGCGCACTTGCAGTGACCGCTAACCTTGGTATGTCCTGACACTTATGATGAGTGTCTGCAGGACACAGAAGGCAGCAGCCTGCTCTGTCAGGCTTTTATTATCTACTGCAGAGGCTGGGGACAGTCAGTTTAATAAAACAAATCATCCTTGAAGGTAAGGCAACTGAGAAGAGGAGGAGGAGGAAGACGGGGGAATGTGTCTTTGCCACTCAGTTGGAGATAAATATATATATCTTCATATATATATATATATATATATATATATTCAGAAAAGAAGAGCTTAGCAACCCCTAGCCTACACCATGGTGTGCATGTGTGCGTGTGTGTGCGTGCATCTGTGTGCGGGTGTGCGCATGCACACACCCAGCCATGAACAGAGCAAACTTGGAAACTTCTTCCCATTGCTAGGAGACTCAAGTATAACAATTAGCATGAAATCAGTCCAAGCCCATAACCAGCCCCGTCCAGGTGGACGACGCTTCACGGGGTACACGTCTCATCTGAATACCCAGGCAACAGGGGCTAGACCATGGGGGCCAAGGTACCTCTACTGGGCTGCCTTTTTATCAAAACGAAGTTTCCACTCTCCTCTCCCAGCTCAGCAGCTCCTGCACAGCCTCCCAGTTGCAGCCAGAACCTTTGAAAGCCTTTTGTTATGTTGGGGCCATGTCCAGAGGCCTGGCCTTCCCTCCCACACCCCCCCCCACACACCCCCCCCCCCCCCCCCGCAGCCCTCATTGTCTTGCATTCCAGGGACTTGATTGACTGTGGCCACCTGATGCTGAGGAGATTCTCCAGGGTTCATTCTGCAGATTGTTGGGTTCTATTAAAAGCAACCCAGATAAGGGATTACTTGTCACTAAGGGCTTTTCTGCAGATGTTTATTAGTGATTGGAAATCCACTAGGTGTGAAGAGGTACAGAAAAATATGGGCAACCTCATTCTCCTGAGGCTGAGTTCTAAAACACTCCCCTGCCCAAAAACCTCAGGAAGGTCTTCCCTGACTCTGATGAGTGGAGGGAGCTATCTGTCAGAGAGGTGAGGGTCTCTTTCCCCATGGGTGATAATTCTCCCTGTGGCTAGATGTCCTTGTCACTCTCTTAGAAGACCCATGGCTGACTGTCACATTTCCTCCAGGAGGTACGAAAAAATATCCATTGTTTTAGTGTTAGAGCATTGCATTCTAACTTTCTTCTATCCAGCCTAAACCCAGGCATAAGTGTCGCCTCAGAATCAGCACTGAATTAGCAAACTGTTCCATTTGTTCATGAAGAATTCATCCCTTCGCAAACATAAACCAACAGTCAAAGTCTCCCCCTGGGAATCTTTTGCACCAGTCCCATTTATTTTAAAGATACTAGCTCTTCTGTGGTTTTGCTCAATCACAGAGCTACAGCTTGTCAAGGTTCTGATGCCCCATATAAGTAGAAATTACTGAAAATGAGTTTAAAAGGAGCCAACATGGGTTAATGGAAAAAGACCTGGACAAGCTTTTTCTCATGAATTTCTTTGTTTCATAGAATCTCATGGTTTCTTCATCCATAAAATGAGCTCAGAGATATATCCCAACTCTTTAAATTCTAACTTTTTTTTAATCACTAATATTTTTATCATTCTAACATTGCATTTTTTTTTTTTTTTTGGTTAAGTATTGCGAGAGAAGATAAGTGTAACTCCAGAATTAATGTGTAGAGCAGAACAGAAGCAAGATCTCATTATGAACTATTTATCAAAGACCATGCCAAAGAACTCCAGTGCACATGTGGGTGTCACCAGAACACAAGTCCTAATAAGTGGAATCAGAATAGAAGCTGTAAAGAATTCTAAAGATAGACATCTTGTGATAAATTCATTGCAAAAGGAGATAAGTAGGTGAAAACTTAAATGATTTTGAAAACTTAAATGATTTCAAGACACAAATTCAAAAGATGTTTCAAGACACAAATACAAAAGGCCAGTGCAAGATTACTACCAAGAGCCCTGAATTTTAAAAGCAGGATAAAACCATTAATAAGCATGGAAATGCACAAATAATAGAGTGGAGGCTGAGCTCCTTTGCTCCAAAGAAGTTACTTTGATTTGTTCTGTTCTGTTCTACAAGCCGCTCCCTCCTCTGACAATCTGAACTGAGCCCCTGCTCCCCTGGCCCCTGGCTCCCAGGCCTCCTGTGGGGTCCTTGGAGTCCGAGGGGGCTTCGTCCGCAGCAGCTGTCTCCCTGCTGCCCCTCATCTCGCGCCTCTCTGCCTTGCCATGCAGAATGGGGGAACAAAGATCTTCGTCTGTGATTGTTTCTGCACCATTTGGCTGACAGCTCCCAAACTGAATAGTTAGGGTGGACAGATGCAGGCCCACCTCTTGTCCAGCAGGTTCCCACTCGGTAATGCCCACCAGATAAGACTGGAAGGACTGCCTTTGGGAGAAGAGGACAGAGAGCAAAAGGCTGCTTAGTGGGCCTACTTAGTATAAGGTGGCTGGAAGGATGCATCTCCTGCAGCCTCCTCCTGTCCCACAGCGCTCATGCACAAGCAGGAGATTTGAGGCAATCACCCTAGTCCTGTAGACAGTTCTCAACAGAGGCTGGCCCTTGGGTACTACGGGTTTACAGATCCCTGGGGGCAAGGTGGTGTTTTGGAAGCTTTTCCCATCAGCAATGGGAGCAGTGTCCAAACTAACTGGCCAGTGTGGATGTGTTTGAGGAAGCTTCTCCAGACTCTCACTTCTTGTAGATATTGACCCCAGATGGGAGCCGCCCCCCTTCTTCCCCATGGGGAGTTATTAGGTTTCTTTCTTATATGACTTGCCACTGGGAGCAATGAATGTCTCTGTCCAGGGATGCAAAAGAGGGATGTCTGGTGATCATTCTGTTTTGTTTTGCTTTAAAGATCTACTAATATAAAAAAGATCCATTGCACAAACCGAGAAAAGGCAGGGAGAAAGGAGTCAAACAATGGACATGACAATACCTCCTTTGTGCTCTGGCCAGTGGCCTGTTGGAACAAAGATGAAAATCATCTACCTCTTGTGCATGTGTAGACAGGGTGTTTACTTCCTGCAATGTCTACACTTGCTATAGAGTAACATTAGTGGGCAGAAGTAGCCACATTAAGTGGCAACTTGAGAATCAGTTCCAAGGATGATCTGTGAATCTACGGTCTTGGTATGTGGAAAGATAGCTGTCCCAGGAGTGACTCACCAAGAAATCTAAATAAGTGCATCAATAGCTATTCCTTCCCTCTATAAGAGGTCAGATTATTAAATAATGAGGAACACACAAACCACACACACAACACACATGTATATTAATTGCCATAGAAGAAAAAGATTAACAATGGGATTTTCAAAGAATATCTGAAGGAAATTTATTCTAAGATATAAAAACTGGACAAATCTGATCTGCCCTGGTCTTGGTTTTCTCCCTGTAAGGTTGGGATTGGAATACCTACTTTCCGTCCACTTTCACTCCATAACACAGCCCCTGACACATAAAAACATTCCATAGATGTCAGCTATAAATAGTCTTTGTTTTCTTCATCTTGTCCAAATCTTTTGTCTTTTACCAAAAATTATAGTGCTCAGTAATATCATCAGGTGCATCAATCAGGACTCTGATGTAATCTCAAGGGGGTCTCTGATATAGCATTTTCAAATTCAGCATCAAGTTTGAATTGTGTGACTCCACGCTAATGTGGCTAGCTCCCTCCTGGTGGGAAGACAGTACTCTCAGATGTAACTTGGCATTTGAGTCAGTCACCCTCCATTCAGACAGGAGACTGAGATAGATACCTTTAGGTTTTCTTCATTTAAAGTATGGGTTTCGTTTGTATCCAAGTCCAGTTGCTTATTATTCTGCTTTTGAGAGCCTACTTTGTTCATAAGGGAAATCATTTTTTTTTTAATTGAGGCTCTAAAAGATGATTTAGAGCCCGGCTTCTGGCATGCACCCGCTTAACGAGGTGAGGAGGCCCTGCAGGGCGCCTCCTTTTCCTTCCTGCTGTTCCCGAGGCAGCCCGAGTCTCACAGTGGGTCTGCCTGTATTCTTTGCACACGTCTCTTTCTAAAACCCAGCAAAGCTGTCAAGCCCACATTACAAAGCTACTATATATAACAACTTTACCTAAGAGAATCGAGGCAGGCCATTTTTAGAAAATGCAGGTGCTATGTAAGCCCCTTTCTGAAAGAAAGAACTTAGCTCATTTTCCTTTGAAGAACTGCAGACTTGAAATTGAAGACTTTATTAATGCCATTGTCTCCTTGTATCAGCAGGTTCCAGAGAGATTCCTGGAAGTAGCGCAGATCACGTTACGAGAATTTTTCAATGCCATCATCGCAGGCAAAGATGTTGATCCTTCTTGGAAGAAGGCCATCTACAAGGTCATCTGCAAGTTGGATAGTGAAGTCCCTGAGATTTTCAAATCCCCGAACTGCCTACAAGAGCTGCTTCACGAGTAGAAATTTCAACAACTCTTTCGAATGTATGAGTCATCGCAGTCCGTTTGGATGTCCAAGTTGTATGTTCTAGATTTTTATTTCACACGTGTGTACGGGAGGCATGGATATGTTATGAAATCAGCTGGTAATTCCTCCTCATCATCTTTATCTCATTTTCTTTCTTTTTCCATTGCAAGGGGATGGTTATTTTCCTTCAGCCTTTAGTTTATTTTGCCCAAAGCCCTTAACATTGGGAGACTTAAAATAGGGTTAATTTTCAGGGAAAAGCGATGTTAGCTCATGTGAAGCCTGGATAAGCAAGAAGGGGCATTTGTTTGACATGCTTCTGCTTGGCTGGTAGTGGCTTGTCACTGGTGATCGGTGAGGGCACCCGGCAAGACCCCACAGGCCGCGGAATGGTTTTGCCTGCTAAGAAGGTCAGAAAACTCAATGCAAACACTTCATAAGCTTAAACACTTTGCTTGTTTTGAACTCAGTCAGTAGCTTCCAAAGACATGGTAACGTTGGCATTAAAAAGAATGCCCGTGGTAGATGAACAGCTCACTTTTCGAAAGTGCCCCACAAAACCAAATTTTAAAAAGGAAAAAAAAGACGAAGAGATTTTATTTCTGTTCCTTTTTTCTTAATAAACTTTTTCTTTCTCTAAGCAAAAAGAAATCACGAAATGTCAAATCTTTCTTAAGAGAACTGGCAAGCCCCCCAGATTAGTAAGTAGCCGGTTTCTTATGATGGTAACTAATTTTGCACAAAACTAACTTTCCAGATGAGACTTGATGTTCACACCGATCTTCAAGTCCATGGTCAGATTTTACAGTGGATTCTCTCTCATAATTAGTGAGTAGATCTCGTTCGTCACAGAGGAACCCCCTGTGACGTGTCAGCTTTTTCTATTGATCTTGCTTAGATATTAAAAGGCACAAAAGTTTCACATTTACTCTTTTGATCTACTTTGTTTCCCTTCTTACAAGAATCACTATTTCTGTTTATATTTAGCACAGTTTTTGGAAAAATAAAACACTATTTTCTAAGCACCTTTCTATAGTAAGGAATAAAAGACACCTCAGCATGACCATAAAATCCCTGCTGACACTAGGAGTTTGTTGACGGCTGTGGCTGCCGTGACCTTCACCACCAGGGAGCACGCATCTCAGCATGACCTGTTCCAGATACCATTCCACACTACCCTCAATCAGGGAGGTGACACCCTAATTAAGTGTGTCTTCATTTTAGGTATAGCGTTTTAAAGCTATTGACAAAGTCTCTTCTGAGTCAGAAGCTAGTATTGACCAAAACGTGAGAAGAGTATAGCATAGAAATGTTTGGGGGATAATCCGAAAGACACAATTTCATCTCGCCTAAGAAAGCTAGCTGCTATTTTATGCTTTCTTCAATGGTTCTCCTCTTTTTTAAATTCTTTTTCTTGCTTTCCAGTTTTTCAAAGGTGTGCCATGTCCTGTGCTTGCTTTGAAAAAGTTGTGTGGCATTCACAGTACCTGTTCCATTTGGTGGGTTTTATGTACAGATGCAGTAAGAATTCCTTGTTCGTTCTAACAGCATCCCCCCCACCCCTTCCTTCCTGTAGGTAATTTGATAAACACCTCCTAAAATGACACAGTATTTCGAATCCTGGTACTTAGATCCTATAGCATGTAAATACCATTTTCCCTTCATTTTTATAAGAATTCCACTTGACTCTGGAGCATATGCATGCCGACCCATGTGACCAAATAGCTGACCCAATCACCGTGATTTAACAGCATTTATAAATTCTGCTGATGGACAAGAATGTATGAAGGCAATTATTGTCAGCACAAAGCCTTAAAACCTGCTGACTTTAAATTAAACAGCACAGCCCTAGGATGCCCTGCATCAACTAGGAGACTAACAGGTTCTCGCAGTGTGGACAGAGTGCAGCTTGCGCTGGAACACTACCGGCTTCACCCCGCGCCCACAGCAAACACACCGCCAGTCTGGCTCCCTCCGCCACAGTGCACCAGAACCATCAGAACCCATTCGTTCTTGTTCCAGCTTGCTTGGGGTGGTGGTGGTGGAAAAATGAAATCTCTGTTCAGCTAATCATTGCATTGGGATAAGAAGCAGCCCCCGCGACCCCGCCCCCCACCCAAACTCAATCCACGCAAAGTAGGAAGCCACCTCCACTTGCAACCACACTCTTCCACTGCTCCATGAGAATGCACCCACTGTCCCAACAGCCCACACCTGGGTCTCTGCTGTTCCGTGTAATTCACAGCCACATGCTAATGCCATCTGCAAGGGGAGGGCAGAATCACAGTCTCCCCTCTGGAGATAGTTGCTAGGGTCTTCTTGATCTGGGGCAAATTCAGTATTGATTCCAGACTTGCTTGGATCTAATCTGACATCATTGGATTATTATTTCCCCCTACTTTTCTAATTTAAATGACAAATTAAGTAAAAGTGTGTGTTCCACACAAAACATTGATGTGCTTCTCTCTATGATAATATCCTCTCCGTGTTCACTGAGGCAGAGAAATTATTTCAGACTAGCATCTGAGTATTTCAGACTAGCATCCGAGGATGAACTCACCTCTTTGTTCTGAAACTAGAGCTCAATCGCTTGGCTTTCAGGTGACTTTTCCCCTGTTGTGATCATCCAATCTTGTGCCTCCCAGTGCATTGGAATATGACAAAAGCCTGTGTCTCAAAATTCCTATTGGACAGGTTTTTTTCCATAAAAAAAAGAATCACCAGCTTTCCAACCTTAGCTCAACTCTCACCGAGTAAAAGTTGGCAACTTGGGAGAAAGTTCACTTTCTCTAGTGAGCGGATGAAGGGTGAGGGAGAGTTTACATAGGAATTAAAAGTCTAAAGTCCATGTTGATACCACATTACTGCGTATTTTCTGCTAACCCTAAATTACTTTTGCACATACACTTGAGGCTATAGTCTGTGCCTAGACTGAAAATGCACCAGCGGGGGGATTTTTTAAAATCCTTCAAAATACCGATTTTTTCCCACAAGTACAATTGTTCTTTGTGCCTTCTGTGGCTCAATTTCATCATTTTGACTTTATTTCCAATTATGACAGTTGCAATAAATACTGGATTTTTTTTTTCTGGCTGTTTGACATAATGTTGATAGCTATGCATATTTTGTGTCTTTTTAAAACAAAGCGGGAGAATACGTTTTTGAAGAAGAGAATTTTTAGAACAGTTTGATACCGCAAATTATTTTTTTCCTCAATTGTTTAAGCAGCATTCGAGTTTTGAAAATTCTTGTAGAAGCCAATTTTTTGTAACTGTGGTGCAAATCTTGTGTTTTCTTAGCCTAATGAAAAGTAGTATAGAAGCAATATTTCAAACCATGTGCTATATATGTGGAGATGTGGAAACCCAAGGCCACAGACGCACATATACACACATGTAAAAATAAACATATATATATGCGTGTGAAGTGGAAAGCTTACCTTTTCCTATCTAGATTTAAGGACCTATTTTAGACATTTGTTATGTTTTGTGAGAAGAATGTTCTATTTGCAACAACAAAACATTTAATTCTTACTGTATCTCTGGCTGTTTAATGAGGATGTTTCACATTAAATGGTAAAACAACGTGGAAGATGGTAGAATGTAGTAATTATTTAAGGAAATGCTCACCCACACATTCCTGAAGTTTGCTTTGTGCCTCTGAGTATTATTTAATTAAAGTGTTTCATTTGCAGAATCTTCGTTGCCGTGTGAGGGATGTGGGTGAATATCATTTTTAAAAATTTTAAAAAGAATAAAAAAAAAACACTAAAGCAAGAGGGGAACTTTTATAAAGCAATGTAAATATTTCATCTCATGACTGTGGTTACGTCAGGCATGAGATTTGAATAAATAACTACATTCTCACATCTGTTGAATTTATGCGGACACTGCAGCGACTGTGTAGATGGCTACAAGCGTTCGGGGGAACACTGTGCTCTCTGCTTTTCCAATGTAACAGTCTGTTTCATCAGATGTCAAGGGCAAGGGGAATGTAGTTTCTGTAAATTTACGAAATTTCTTTTCTGTGTACATGAAGACATTTGGTAAGTAACCTCCCCCCCTACACACACACACACACACACACACACACACACACGCTTAATATTAAGTCATAAAGCTAAAGAGGTGGGGGGCTTTGTGAATCAGAGGTGTCCCAGAAGCCATCCTAAATTCATCAGAGAAAAAGTGGTTGGCTCCACTCCCCTGAAAGAAGTGATGCCCATGTAAAGACAACAAAATCTCCTTGCCGTGTGTATTATAGAATATTCGTTGGTGTGACTAGTACAACTGTTTCCTTCTGGTACAAACTCTTGTGTTTGCAAATTCCAAGAAGCATTGTTTTTAAAAAGCTCCCCTTTAAAGAACGTAACTGTTTATGTGAGTAAGCGGTTACTCTATTGCACTTAAACGTGAGGGTGGAGGAAATGCATTTATTTTGTGTAGATCTGTTGGTGTAAACCATCTCTAAAACTGAAGCTAAAGTGCTCACATTCAGAGCTGGGATCAAAACTGGATCTTCTTCAAATTATCCGTCTAAGAGTAGAACAGAATCTGGAAGCCCCCAGACTTTTGAGTCCTTTCACTGAGCCCTCTGTCAACTCTGACACCCACTAAAATGCACAACCCAGAACAGAAAAGGCAAGACTGGCCCTCTGGGGTGAAAATATTTTCACTGTGTATTTTTCAAATATTCTATTCCTCGAAATGGGGGAGGAGGGAAATAACAAAAAATTGTATATGGCCACTTCACAGGATCAGAAAAGCAGGTATCTTTGGGGTTGGTCTCAGCATTACTGGAAGAATCAAAGGTCTTGGCTTCCCCCAAACACTGTCCATTTCTCATGTGTATATAGTATAAACCGTGACAAAACACTGCCTTTATATTATTTAGCAATATGTTGTAAATAGCATTATTAAGCTCTTTTTTTGTAATAAAGACCCTTTGATTTGAATATAGTACAATAACTGAACTGATAAAGTCAATTTTTGATTTTTTTTTTAGCTAGAGTCAATTTCAATTGTGGATTTTTGTTGTTGTCTATTGTTCTGAAGACTTTGCATAATTTATTGGTTTAATTTATCCTAATTTATTTGATGAAGGTGTACAATTTTGTATTACCAAGGATGTACTGTAATATGAATTGATATGATAAAAACAATGAGATTCCCTGTTCGTATTAAAAAGAATATAAAAAGGTGCAGTAGACAATTGATTTTAAAGTCAAAGTAAAAAAAAAATTAGTTTGGCAGCTACTAAATTTTAAAACAGGAAAAAATGACATTGCTTGGGGGGGGGGCAGGGGTTTTACTTTGTGTGTCTTAAGCTTTTGTATAACTCTCCAAACTTTGACCTTTTGCTTTGTACCACTTAAAGAATACAGTAGTCCGATTGCCTTGTGTGCCTTCCATCTCCTCTTAAAACTGAATGTATGTGCAGTATATATGCAAGCTTGTGCAAAATAAAATATACATTACAAGCTCAGTGCTGTTTTGACTTTTTTCCAAGCCTGTGTGCTTTGCAGACCTGTGCCCCATCCCAGGGCCGCAGACAGGCCAGTGTGACTT